AAGAGACTCTGCCTCGGTGTCCCTGATTGTACGTGGTCCCATACTTCCTTTGATCCTCAGCTCAAGGGCCATCTTCTGAGCAAGGCCTCTCCTGACTCCGGCGTCTCACTCTGTCCTGGGATGGTGATGATCCCTGTAGTCTCTCTGGGCACCAGAGCCAGAGGATATTCCCAGAGAGCTGTGGCCCTATATGTGCATGTCCCTTCCAGTCAAACATGCCTCCACCCTCCTGCTTGGCAGAACTGCCCACCTTCTCACTGAGGTCTGGAATCCAATGTACCAGAATAGGCTCAGCACCCTATATGACCTTGGACCGGTCACTCCCATCTCTGGGCCTGTTTCCTTCTCTAGCAAATGAGGGAGTTGGCCTAGCTTACCTCTGAGGTCCCTTCCTGTTTAAATCCTTCGCTCTCTTCCCCTATGGCCTTGTGGCCACGCTCCCTTTCAGAGAGGAAAGCTCAGTAACCTTTGGAAATGGCTCGGTGGTGTCCGGTCATCCAAAAACCGAGGTCCTGCCACGGTAAACACTGTAGATTTGGAGCTGGATGGAATCTCGTCCATACCCTTCGTCATAACAAGCTCATTAGCTTCTTTTCATCAGAACTATTATAAGGCCAAATAACAGAAAACAAACCTCTTCTAAATTGCCCCCCTCCCCAGTTTGGACTCTAAAAGGGGCCAGCTGTTTTCCCTAAGATCTTTGGACTAAGAGCTGGGAGGGACCTTGGGCTTCATTCACCCTGTCCTCTACAGATGAGGACACTGAGGCCCAGACAATGACAACGTGCTAGGATAGGGCTGCCTTTGGGGGAGATTCAGTGCACCCATGTGCCACCTACTGTGTGCCCAGCACTGGTCAGGCCCTAGGGGATCCACACAACAGTCACCAGCTGCAAGGCTGCTGTTTTCTTGACTCACCTCATTTATGAGACCTTTTCTTGCTTTACTCAGGCAGGGGCAGTTGTTTGCCCTTCGTTCTCCAAGAGGACCATGACATCAGGGGAGGTGATGCCATGACTTGCAAGTGAATCGGATTTGAGTGAGGGAGGGCTGTGCAAAGTCACCAGCCTCACTTTCCCCATCTGGGTCCAGTGGCCAGATAGAGATCAGGACGAGTGGAAATGGACCCTGGAAGGGGCAGTACAGTGTGGGGGAAAGAGCAGGAGGTATGGAGAAGGGTGGGGCAGGAGACCCCGTTTGAATGCTGGTGATGCAGTTTACTGGCTGTGGCCCTAGGCAAGCCTTTTGGCACCTCGGTTTCCTCATCTGTAATGAAAGCCTAACCCGTGCACTAGCTAACTCATAGAATGCTTGAGAGTTAAGTGCCAGAGAAAAAGGGAGTTGTTTGACAATAAATTTTGTTAGTGGCTGTTAGTAAAGGGTGCCACTCCCTGAGTCAGGCTCAGACTATGCAGGCAGTACATCCGGGGCAATCTCTGCCCCAGGCCCTTCTCCCCTCCCCTCCTCAGGTAGGCACAGCCCCTGAGTGACCCAAGCATAACATCACAAATACAGGGAGACTCCAGAGCCAATTCGTAGGTGACATAGGCGGAATAGGATTGTCTGAACAGAACCCTGAGGTTCTGGAGAAGCAGCAGAAATCCGACAGCCAGAGATTCTCCCTGCTGGCTTGGCTTGGGTGGCACCCTATTATACAGGCTGGTAGCTTGGATCATGGGGGTCAGCTGTCTGCAGCACCTCTCTTTTCTGTCTTCTCTCTGTCCTCTTTTCTCTCTTCCCTCTTCATTTATTAGGCCTGCCCATGATCCCCTAAGAGACTCCTTAACCTCACCCATGGTACTAGATAGAGGTCAAAAGGGTTGTTGACCACATTCCAGTACATTTCCTCCTCTTCCTATTTTTTTTTCCAATCAGCAAAAATCTGTCTTCTCCCCTTTTCACTCCTCGACCTTCACTGAGGAGGAAAATCAAGATCTCTGTTACAAATGTGTATAGTCTAGGAAAACAAATTCTGCATTGACCATCTCAAAAAAAAAAAAAGCCTTGATCTGCTATGTCAGTCCATCACCTCTTTATCTAGAGAGGAGCAGCATGTTTCATCGGGAGTCCTCTGGAATTGAGGCTGGTTATTGTCCTGCTCAGAGCTCCTGAGTCTTTTAGGGTTGTTTTTAATCACGTCACATAAATTGTTCTCCTGATTCGATTCCATGCACTTCACTCCTCCTCACTTCATCCAGGTATTTCCAGGTTTCTTTGAAACTATCCTGTCCTCATTTTTTATCTAACATAACAGTATTTCATCACAATCACATGCCGTCACCTGTTCAGTCATCCCCCGATTTTTGGGCACCCCATTTTCAATCCTTTGCCAGTGCAGAAGTAGCTGCTATTAATGTTTGCACACTATTAGTTTGCTTTGCTGAGGACTCATCCTTCCCTATACCTCCCCTCCTCATTCTCCCTTGCTTCATTGAATGGAATGTATTTTTGTACCCTTCCTTTGACCAGTCTAGATGAGCATGACATTCAGGTGTCACATACAAGCCCCACTCCTTCCTCTTTGTATAGATTTCTACTTGTACACCCCAATTATGAGATAATTTCCCCATTCTGCTTCCTTCCCCCTCCTCCCAGTGTATTCCTCTTCTCCTTTTCCACTCATGCAGCTAGACGGCACAGTGCTGGGCCTGGAGTCCGGAAGACTCAAATTCAAATCCTGACCCAAACACATACTAGCTGTGTGATTCTGGGCAAATCACTTAACCTGTTTGCCTCAGTTTCCTCAACTGTAAAATGGGAAATGGTAGCAGCTCCTCCCTCCCAGGCTGTGAGAACCAAATGAAGTATCTGTAAAGTGCCTGGTATGCACTAGGTACTATACACTCGCTACCTTCACATCCTTCTTTGAAGATCAAGACAACAGAAATACTCATAATTCTGTTTCGAATTAGTCCAACTCTCCCACGTGATCAAAGTTCTGAAGGGATACATCTATCTCCTCTCCATGAGATGTATCCTTATCATGTTCTATCACAGTTTTCTTTTTATGTTTCTCTTGGCCAGCATTACCACTTACACCCCAGCCCCATTCTCCACAACAGGATTATACTCAGTTATGTTAGTTCTTGTTTATAAGCCTATATCCTCTGCCTTCTGGAATATCACATTCCAAGCTCACTGTTCCTCTACGGCAGTGCCTGCTCAACCGTAATCCTGACGAGATTCTCAATACTTTAATTCATTCTTTCTGTTTGCTTGCAGTATTTTTCCTTTGATCTGGAAACTGGATTTTGGCTATAATGGTCTTGGTTTACATTTTGGGGTTCCTTTCAGGAGGTGACCAATGGATTCTATCTACTTTGAACTACGATTCTAAGAGATCTGGGCAGTTTTCTTTTATGATTTCTTAAAATATGGTTCCTAGGCTTTTTTTTTTTCGTCATGGCTTTCAGGTAGTTTTATGATTTTTTAAATGATCTCTCCTTGACGGTTTCTAAGTCATTATTTTTGCTATGAGATACTTTAAGCTTTCTATTTTTTTCCTCAGCTTTTTGACTTTAATAGTTCTTGTTGCTTTATGAAGTCATTACTTTCTACTTGGTCCATTCTAACTTTCAATAAGTTTGTTGTTTGGCAAAGTTTTGTACCTCTCATCCTAAGTTAATTCCTTTTCCAAATATTTTTTCCATAGCTCTCACTTCTTTTCCCAATTTTTCCCAGCACTTTCATTTCAGTTATACTGAATATTCCATTTCAGGATCTCAGGGACAGCTCAGGCTGCAGACTTAAAAGCTTTCAATGATCTTAAAGCAAAGGTTGACTTTTGCCCTCTTGGTCTGGTCTTTGCAACTTCCTGACTTGGGTTTACATCTGACCAACACACCTGTGGACTCACCCCATTTGGTGTTTCAGTAGAATACTGCTGGACTCAGCTACCTGGAAAACTCTGCTCATTCAGAGGGACAGAACCATGGGCTCCCGTGTGGTCTGGGATCCTTTGCCATGATCATTCCCCTACAAGCTTCAGACTGGCCTAGAAGCTAGACCTAAGATCCTAATTCTCTGCCAGTGTCTGTGCCACATAGCTACTGCTGGCTTTCCCACTCCCTAAACTTTCTACACAGTAGCCCTCCAGCAGGTTCCAGGCTGCCCTAGACCCTCAGAGCCAGAACTCTGCAAACCATTTAGACCAGCCCTCCCCATTCTATGGTATCCCTAACTTCGGTAAAAATTAAGACTTGGGCACACAATTTTGAGTTACATTCATACCACAGATAAAAGCAGTTTATAGAATCACAGTTCAAGACCTTAGAGATTGAGTCCAACCCCTCACTTTACAGATGAGGAAACTGAGGCAGACAGAAATTAAGTGACTCCCTCAGGGTCATACAGGTAGCATTTGAAGCAGGATCCAAATTCAGGTCTGACTCCAAGGCCAATACTTTATCTACTATAAACTGTTATTGTTCCCACACATAAGCAACTAAAATAAAAACCACCTGTAAATTAACCAAGGGTCAACATCAGATAAGGTACTTAGTGGAATGGAAAGCACCTCATTGAAGTCCTGCTCCTTTCACTGCTTATGACTTTGGGCCAATCTCTTCACTGAGCTCGTTAACTCATCTGTCTCTTCCTGGTCTCAGCTTGTGATATTATGGGATGGAATGGCAGCTCAATTGCACTGTGAATAATAAGCCCTCTTCATTAATTATTAGAAGCCAGCAGCGCAACAGGGCAATGGGGACACTAGCTAGCGGATGCCAAAGCAGCTCAGGCCCCGCAACTGGGAGACAAGTCTTCCCCACGTAACCTTGGGGAACACTGCCTTTCTGGCTACTGTGAGGCTGTGCCCCACAGAGACAAAGACAGAAAAGATGCAAGGGCATAAACGAAGGACCAAGAAAGCCTGTTTGTCCTGGAAGGGATCCCTAGGGAACCTCGCTGGAAGGCCAGACAGGTCTCATTAGACAACCTCCCATGGTGGGGAGGGGGAGGGATGGGGACCAAAAAACCAAGATAGAAAGCAAGGCCACGAGGGTGGGCTAGTCTCAATTTAATGAAAAAGCCGAGGGTGGGGAGGGAAAAAGGTACATATCTTTGTAAACAAGGTAGGAAACCAAGTAGATAAGAAAAGACTAGAGGCCAGCCCAAGAAAGGGTTAAAGTGTATCTCTCAAGAAGGATGGTAGGTGTTTCTGCTGCTCAGCCTGGGTTTTATTTGTTTAATTTGTCCACAGTTAAACCTCTGGCTCATAAAACTGGAGGACTCTGATGCTGAGGCAGGGCTTTAGGGTTCTTCCAGACTAAAGAGCTTTAAGGAGCTCCTCCCCTCCTCCCCAGGGCCAGCTCTTGCTCTCACCCCCTTGCAGCTGGAAAGCAGAGGGGGAGCGAGGGAAGTCTCTCCTAGACAGTGGTGGTTACTAGGGAATTTCAGGGTGTATCATGGGGTCTGTACTTCACAGCAGGAGGTAGAAGTGATCAGTAAATCTCTCTTTATTACAGACCTACAAAAAACACCAAGAGAATTTTACATACATATGCATACGTATATATAACTCTCTTTTCTTTTACAAAATGGCATCAGAGGAGAGAATGTGGCAAGTAGGTCAGGCACAGGGTCATAAAGCCTCTGTGATAAAGCACAGGGACCAGAGGACAAGGATAAAAATTTCACAGTCAAAACAGGGAGACCCCACTATTAAGCAGTCCTGCTGAAACAGGTCCCTCTCCAATCTCCTCTGGAGATGGTCACGACTGGGGCCTAGGTCAGGGTGGGCTTGGCAGTGGGGGATAGGAGAAGGGGGATGGGAATCAAGTACAGGAGAACACTCCAAGCTCCCATTCCCAGCTTTCCCTCCCACAGTCAGCAGCAGCATCACTTCCCTTAAGGACCAGTCCTCTGCAGTCAGGTGACTGAGAAATGCTCCTTGTTCCCAAGGCTGGAGATGAAGAACCCTTCCCCAGACAGACACAGGATGGGCCAATGGGGGCTAGACAGGTGGGGAATGGAAAGGACTAGAGTTCTTCTAGGAGGGCCCCAGGGGAAAACAAAAGCAGGCCCAGCTCAGCAACCAATCAGCTTCTTGAGGAACGCCTCCAGCTGGTCTTCATCCTTGATGCCCACAAACTTGTCCACCACGTCCCCGTTCTTGATGGCCAGCACCGTCGGCACAGCAGACACCTGGAAGGGGCAGGAGCGAGGGGGATAAAGGAGATGACATCATTTCTAGGCCAGTGAGTGCCTGATTCCCAGTTGGCAGGCTAAGAGTTCTGTGGGGTGGAGAGTGCCGGGGCTTGCCAGCACAGTGATGTTCAAGGCCGCCACCAGGGCTGCAGCAAAATGAGGTCCCTTCCTTTGGGAAGTGCCCCTGGGGCAAGAATATCCTGGAGCTCTGGGGTTTCCCCAGTGGAAAAATACTTTCCATTCAAGCGCCCAGTATTTACCCTTCCCCCTGAAGAACCAGAACCACACACTGACTCATCACCCAGTGGTTTGGCTGAAGACATAGCAGAGAGGAAAATCACCACCACTACAAAAAATAGCTGCAGGATGGGGGAATGGGCACAGAGAACGCAGACCGGGGCTGGGAGACCTTGGTGCAGTGCTTGACTGAGTTTTCTTGCTGTTCTCTAGGCAGTGAGAAAAAGGCAGTTTGATGTGCGGTCAGATGAACAGCAGGTACTAGTCATCACTGGGAACCAAAACAGAGACACTAGAACTCAAAGCTGGCTGAGGAATCCATCGGAAAAGCCTCCCCATATCCTGGGTGATAGAAGAGGGCAGAAAAGTGATATAGAAATGACTTAGAAAAAGACAAGGTTTTCACTAGGACGATGGACCTCGGTGGGGGTGTGGTCCAGAGCTGTGCATTTGGAGGAAAAGCCTGCTACAGGACCCTATCTATGTAAGGCCCTGACTCCCTGAGCTTCAGCTGACTCATCTGTAAAATGGGCATAACACTGTTGCCTCTTACCTCACTGGGTTGTTATGAAGATCCAATGAAATAGTGCCCCTGAAGCCCTTTGTCAGCACGGAAGCGCTTGCTATACATTCCCAGCCTATCAGTATCATTGTCGTTAGAGCCATAAACTGGTCACAAGAGACACAAACCCTGACTTCTTGGAGCCGGCATGCTAACAGAACAAAAGGCCAAACACAAATGGCCATTTCCCTCCCACATATGCAGCGGGTACAGAGCAAGCGGACCGGTCAAACACCTTCGAAGTCAGACGTTCAGTCGAATGGAGCCCTTCACCACCGTCTGCTAGACCAGTGGCTTTTAACCTCTGGTGTGTCCTGGGACTTGGGGAAGAAGGCCACACAGATCCCTGCTCGGAATCCAGAGGCAGACAAAGGAAACCAGTGATAGGGAACCGAAGTTACTAAAATATTTAAAAAAGATTCACGGAGCCCGGGTAAAGAACTAATCTGTGAGCTGCTAGAGAACAGGGACGAGGTGGATTTTATCTCTGTATATATACAGTGTCTAGTACAATACTGCCTTTCACATAGTAGGCATTTTAATGTTTGTTGAATGAATAGTCAACTGCGAGGAGGCTCCGTGATCACTTCATTAAGGTGTCACAGCTCAAGAGTTTCTGGACTCCTCCAAGGCAACTAATGAACTATATGTAAAAATCAGCCTCGTTATAGTCGCCCCTCTTTTCTGATCCAGGCTTGTAATCAGCTGGATTCCTACCTGGCTCTGTGTGATATCTACCAAGCAATCCCCCAAAAGGAAAAGACTGGAGCCACCGAGGGTATTCCAAAGACCGCACTTCAGGCTTAGAAGCATGTTCCTTACAGAGGAGTCTTAGAAATAATCTTTGCCAACCCAGGGGAGTCCCCAAACTGAACAATGGTAACCCTGGTGGGAGAAGGGAAAACACTCATTTCTATGGCTAAATTCTGGCACGTTTATTCAACATCATCACCTCAACGTCACGGTGATTTGCCCAGTTTTATAAAAAACCACAGTATGTGAGGTCTGTTTGGCTGGCAAAGTTTTCAGGGCCTACAACTGAGCCTACTCTTTGGTTGAGACAACTTTTGCCTCATCCTTTAAAACACGGCTAACTAACTCTCCTCCTTGCACATTCACTGAAAGCAATCACGGAATGCAGAGGAGGCAGCTGAGACCAGCCAAGTCTCGCAGGAGGGAGGGCCTGAAACCCTGAGGAGCTGGGGGGAGCATAAAGGCTGGTGCTGGCGATACTCAGCCGCGCGCCCCCCAACCCCACCCTTTGTTGTGTCCATTCTAGGCTCCATGGAGCTCTCCCAGGCACATGACTGGGTAGGTGGGCGGGCACTGAAAGTGCCAAGAAGCCCGCACGTGCTCCACCCCTCTTCCCTGCACAGCCAATGACCAAAAAAGGCTGCAGATGCCGATCCAGGGAGATGTGTGTGTGTGTGTGCAGGGCTTGCTTCTCAGTGGGCCCGGCCTTGCTGGGCTGCTCTTGGGCGCCCCCTAGTGGCAGTCTGAGACAGCCAATGACACACCCCACCTCCCATGTTGCTCCTGGAGCAGCGACCCCAAGGACTGAAGACCTTTGGGAGTGGCTCCTGTGATTTACAGTCAAACACGTGAGGATGCCCAGCACTTCCAGGGTATCCAGAAATCACCTCACGCTGTGGATAAGGCAGAGGGACCTCGAGGCAGGGGCCAGGGTCCTGGGGACCCTGTGGTGGGCCTCAGTTTCCTACATGTCCAACGAGGAGGTTCGGCTAACTGGAGCTAAGAGTCTGTGTCGTGAGGCCTCAGGCACACGGGACTGGTCGCTGGAAGGGGCCACTTAGTACGAAGTCCTCGCTGAACAGCCGGTAAGCAGCAGAAGTGGGAATGGAATTCAGGTCCACCTGCCTCCACAGCACTGTTCTTTCTGTCTCCGATAGGCTACACTTGAATCCAGACCTCCCTGCTCACTGGCGTCTCAAGGAAAAACTGACCAGATGGAACTCCACCCATCTGCTGTCACCTGGGTGGGAAAGGCCAGTTGGGGATGCCTGCAGGTCACTTAAAACAGACCAAGGCCTGACTAACTGCAGGAAGAGAGGAGACCACTGAGCTTGGAAGAAGGCATGAGTTCAGATCCCAACTTCTCCCGTCCGCTCATTCTTAGACTGCCTCCTTCAACAGAGCTGATGTGCGTGACGTAACAGCATATCTGCTCCATAAAGCGATGACGCTTCCGTCATTCTTACTATACACTCAGCCCCTAACGAGGCTTCCCTCACATCAGGTTCAGGGGTCAGCACTGCCAGCCACCAGGGCAGAGAGCTCTAACTGCAGCCTCACAGGGCGCCCCCACCTATCCCAAGAGTCCTTCTCTAACACAGACCCAAGCTGAGAGCCGAATAATAGAACACAGAGGCAGCTCTGCCTGAAAGCAAGCTCTGAGATCAACATGGGGCCTGAGGAAGGAGTGGGAGGTGGAACTCAAAGAAACCTGATGCTCCATGCATTTTGGAACAGGAGGGGTCTTAGGAATGACTACAGCTGAGAAAAGGCCAGTCCCCTGCAACCTTGCCTCTGTTCTCCAATATTCAAGGCTCTCCACTGGGGTTGGGGAGCACTCCTCCAGGGCCTTTTACACAGCAGCTACAGCCCCCCCCAACCTCTGCGAGGGTCCTGCCTCTCTGCTCCCCCATCCGGCTCTGCTCTGGGGAAGCGGCAGACTAGGGAGCCCCACCCAATACCTGCACATCAGGCTCACATTTCACAGGACACAGAGGGACCAGAGAAACAGAGGCATCATGTTGTAATGGACAGAGGAGCAAGAGAAAACTGGCATTGAGCTCTGGTGGGCGACCCTGAGCAAGTCCTTCACCGCCCTGAGCCTCAAGTTTCCTCTTCTGGAAAAGGGGACCAACCCTTGCGCTATCTCCATCCCAGGACTGTGCTGGCAAATGTGCTTGTGGCTCTTAAGGGGTCTGGTGAGCGTGAGCCACAGTTAGGTGTCTTCCGCGTAGAGGAGGAAAGGAGGTTTTCGTGAGAAAAGCCCTGACGATGATCAGGGCCAGCACAGTAGCCTGGCCTGGAGGAAGAGGACTGAGAAGGCCTGTCTCAGCACCCCCTGGCTGGGTGAGCCCGGCAGTCTCCAAGCCTCGGCACCTGGGACACTCTCTAACGCTCACAGTCAGAGCTAAGCCGCCACCCAGCCTTGGTGAAGGGAGTCTGTACCCCCTGAACACACACCACAAATGTGTGTGTGTGGGGGGCACTGGGAGATTTCTCTTTTCTGATGATCTACGATGAGAAAACATGTCTGGGCTCTGGATCAACCCTTCTAGGCAGCTTCTAAGTGGCTGCTCTATGTTGGGGAAGAGGAAGGTTTTGAACAGCTAAAGCTTGAAGGCAAGGAGAAGATCTGGGAATGACCAGGATCCTAATTCTGCCCCCCAGCCTGGGCTTTCTCTCTATCTCAAGCTGTCCAGTAGCCAGAACAAAGTCCTGCTGGGCTGAGAAAGGCAATTTCACCAACTCCAAAACCAAGTGAGGTGGGGGAAGAGGGCAAAGGGCAAGATAACAGGAACAATAAAGAGAAAAGAAGGTGTCGCTTTATCCACAGAACACCTGAGAAGGGGACTGGTTCTGGAAGCACGAAACACTCGAGGGATGTGGGTCATGTGTAGTCAGGACAGTCTGGAGCCTGGGGGGCATGCTGAGACACAAGGCAAAGAATGTACACACATTCCAAAGCTCCCCCTACTCCTCCCCGGGGAATCTGCCGAGGATTGTGAAATGTGAAGTTGGGCAGCTGGCCAGGGGCACACCAATAGTGGGGGCAGGGTCTCAGAGAACAAATGAATGTGTCTGAGGGTATGGGGGGAAGGGTCTAGGAGAGTATGAGGAAATGCATCTAAAGCCCAGAAATTAAGGAATTCTGTTTAACATGCTAATCCTGCAGCTCAGCCTGGCCCAGGGGCAATTACAGGGAGGCCGACCTCAGCTCAGCTGAAGGAAAAACCTTCCTAATGACCAGAAAGGAACTCAACTCTGAGGCTTCTTTGGGCAGTAGCAAGTTTCCCTCCAGGAGATCAGGAAGAACTGTGACAGATGTGGTACAACGGACACAGCCAGTCTTGGAGCCAGGAACACCTGGGCCCTCTGTGGGCAAGTGGCTGACACTCTCAATTCTGCGACCCTCTAGGACTGTCAATCTGAGAGAAGGGGCCGGCCTATACCTGTAGAGCGCGTTTACTTATGCAAGGGTATCACAGATCTAGTCCCTAGTTCTTCCAATGCCAAAATTCCTTGATTTTCAGAAAGCTTTGGGTCCATGCACTGAGATTCCCTTCTCATTTCACCAGAGAGAGGGGAGATAAAAGACTGAGCAGGGAGGGGGAAGGTGGCCGGGGGAGAGAGATCAACAAGAATCCTGCCAGGTACGGGATCTCAGCCATCTGCCCTGAACCAACCACCTGGCTGAAGCTTGGACACTCAGAACCTCTGGCTTGGGGTTGCCCCCACACTGATCACTGCCTGGGCCTACCCAGAGTCCCTCCACACAGACTATCGCAGCATAGCGCTCACAGGACTCTGAGGCTCCTGGTGGGCTCCCTGGCTGTGCAGGGGGCAACGGTCATCAGAATCTTTGCTGCTCCAGGGGGGCATTTGGGGAGATCTGTCTCTGGGGATCAACGAATGCACTTTGCAAAATGATACAAGATTTTGTTCAGAGAAGCAGTAGGAAGAGTGAGTGGTGTGTGTGCTCTTCATCCCAATCCTTCCAAGGAAGCCCCGAAGCATCTCAGAAGGGCATCCTACCCAGGGAAGGTCATGAGAGAGGGAAACGGCAGAGGACCTCAGATTTAGAGCTTGGGGCTGCCAGGGGCCACCTCACCCACTCCCTTCTTTCTCAGGGCAGCTTTAGGTCTTCAAATGGGTTGGCATGGTGGCCCTGATGCCTAAAGCATGACTACTGGGCACATCGAAGACCCTAACTGGCATTTCTGTCCAGGGCAGGGATGTGTGGGGAGGAGGATGAAGCTACAGACCCCCCAACCCCACCGCGGGGGTCAGGGGAGCAGGAGGCTCTCTGTGGGTTTGGGTTCCAGGGCCGCTGCTGGCACCCGTTTCATACCTCATACTCAATGGCGAGGTCTGTGTTGTCGTCAATGTCCACCTTGGCCATCAGCACCTTCCCCTCCTGCTTTGCCACCATTTTCTCTAAGCGGGGCCCCAAGATCTTGCAAGGGCCACACCACCTCAAGAAGGGGAGGAAAGGAAGCATCTCTGTCAGACATGGCTGGCTCTCACTCCCCTGCTTCTGTTGCTCCAAGGGAGGGCTCTGTGGGGACCAGGGACAGGCAGGCTCATTGGGATGTGATGGGGATGAAAAATCAAAAATTATCCACAAAGCCTTTAAAAAAGGAAGTGTGTAAAGTGAGACATGGAAAACCCGGCAACTCAAGTCTCAGCTTCAAAAAGTTCTCAGTCTATCTCCATTTAAATACATCTCCCTCATAAGAGAACGTCTGTTCTCCTGTGAGGCCTGGCTGAACATTGGCAGGAATGGGGCCTGGGCTGACCGCCGGAAAGCAGCCTTGGCCCCTGATCTGGAATGAACAGGGCTCCTCAAAGGATGGCTTCACCTCCAACACCAGGAGAGAGGCTGGGTTCAGTCAGTGAGCCCTAAGGCAGCACAAGATGCATAAAAAAGGAAGCCATGCTGTGGTCCAGATACTTTAAACTCACCATCCCTGGCAGCTGCCTGGGCAGCAGAGGGGGAGGGCTGGGAGCAAAGTCCCTTTACCAAACACAACCCTTTCTTAGGTGGACTGCTTATCCAGAGCTGGTGCAAACCATTGTGCCATCATCAAACACTCAGCTATCCTTTGGATTCAGGGACTTTAATCAAAGAACTCTCAGAGCCCAATCCAGCAAATATTATGTTCTCGGACAAATGAGGAAGAGAGTAGTCAGAGAACAAAACAGAGAGAGGACAACCCAAGTGTTGGCAGAGATGAAGAACTCAGGAGGCCTCCCAGGTCCTAAATCGTGAGCACCTCCAATTCTCACACTTCACCTCCCTAAGAGGGTCTAAGGAACTCTCCTTTAGTCGACTGCAGCCAGGTCAGGTTACATGGCCCCAAGGACCATCAAGAAAGCAGGCAGCTAGATGGCACAGTGGATGGAGCACTGGCCGTGGAGTCAGGAGGACCTGAGTTCAAATCTGGCCTCAGAAACATAACACTTACTGGCTGTATGACTCTGGGTAAGTCACTTAACTCCAACTGCCTCACCAAAAAAAAAAAAAAAAAAAGAGAGAGAGAGAGAGAGAGAGAGAGAGAGAGAGAGAGAGAGCGAGCGAGCGAGAAATCAGGCCAGTCTTCAAAGGGAGGCTCTGGGTGCTGTAAACTCAAAAAACAACCAGCAAACACATGACCAACTGCACGGGTGACCACCATCTTGCCAAGGACATCTGCATTTGACACAGACCACTGGGAAGGCATTGATAAATTTTCACAGGCCTTTCGCAGTCTGGGACAGCAACAACTTGAAAATATAGAAGACATATCTGTAAGGTTATTAAACTGTTTAGAAACCCAAGAGGCCAAATACTGCCCTCTAATGGTACTTCAGACACACACTTTTAAAAAAGCCACATTATTCAAACTGCGCATAATTTTGAAAAGTCTTCCAGAGGTGGGGCCCTGGAAACAAGGTAGATTCATGGGAAAGTGAACTCAGGACTTAAAGACCCCGCCCTCCGTGTGTGCCCAGTACTCACTGTGCATGGAAATCCACAACCACCGGGGTGTCACTGTTGACAACTCTGTCCTGAAAGTCGGGCCCATCCTGGACGTTAAACGTAACCTTGGAGATCTTGGTGGTGGAGAATGTCCGGGCCAAACAGAGTGCGGCGGCGGGCCTACCGGAGCTGCCCTGGGCTAGAACCTCAGGAGGAAGAGGCCCCCAGCGGCACCGAGGGAGCTTCCTGAACAAGACAGGGGCTAGGAACCTCCTGAGGACCACGCGCTGAGCCATCTACAAGGGGGAAAAATGGAGAGGACGGGGATCTGTGGAGGCAGTTACCTGAAGCAGAAACAAGGGAACCAAGGGACCGAGAACACCAAAGGGAAACACAGAGGAAGCCAGCTGAAGGGGTCCAAACCCAAGGCAGGGGGATGCCCCAAGAGGAGCAGAGGGAAAGGGAAAAAAGGATGAAAGGCAGAAGGGAAGATGAAGGGAAAAACAGAAGGCAAAGGGAAACAAGGCAGGGGTGAGGAAGAACTAAAAGATAGGAGGAAGGTGCGGTCTGGGCTGAAGTCCTCGCTTCAGCATGACCTAGCTACATGACCTTGGGCACACTGTGCTCAGGAGGTCCCTACAAGAAGGCGACATCAACTCCCCCAATCCCGAGATTTACCAGGTGGCTCCTAAGAGTCAGCTCCACAGACCCAGCAGCTTCCTTTGAGAAGCTTCCTCTGATGGGAGGGGGCAAGAGAAGCAAACCTTACATCTGGACAAAGGAGAAAGTCACCCAAGGTGCTCCAGAGCAGTGGGAGGAGCCCCTGGGAGGCCAGGGCTGCAAGGGGCCTCGAGCAATCACCCAGCCCAACTTCCCCTTGTACGGCCAAGGACACTGAAGCCCAGATGGGAAATACCTGACCTGAGTCAGATAACCAGCTGATCCACAAAGATTTATCAAGCACTCGCTACATACCAGGCCTCGCTGGGGGAGAAGAGCGCGACGAAGGGCAAGCCATTCACATCCTACACTGGGATACAAGCAACAGAAAAACACACAGGGCACAAACACAAAGTTACCAGACACAAATATATACAGAGTAGTTAAATACAGAGCATCGTGGGAAGGAGGGCACCCACAGCTGCGGGGAGCAGGAAGGGCTTCATGCACAAGATGATGCTTGAGCTCAGTCCTCAAAGGAGAGGAAGTCTGTGAGGTGGCGAGGTGGGGGAGGTGTGCATTCCAGGCAGGCCCATGGAAGGCATGGAGGGAGACGCGAGAGAGAGAAGGCCAGGCCCACCTAGCTTGCATGTCTATAGAACTTTAAGGTTCTTTACACATCACCTCATCTGATCTTTATAACACCACCTGGAGGGAGGTGCTCTAATTATTACCCTCATTATACAGCTGAGGAAACTGAGACAAACAGGTGAGCGATGCCCAGTATTACACAGCTAGGAAGTGTCTTCCTAACTCCAAGTCCAGCACTACCCACTGTAACAAATGAGGCTGGAAAGATAGGCTGGGATCAAGTTACACTGGGATTTGGAAGCTGAAGGGTTTATATTCTATCTTAAAGGCAGTGAGAAGATGCCAGAGGGGCTGAGTAGGGGAATCACGGTCACATTTATGCTTAAGAAAAGTTACTTTGGAGGCAGTTGGGTGGCACAGTGGATAGAGCACTGGCCCTGGATTCAGGAGGACCCGAGTTCAAATCCAGCCTCAGACACATAACACTCACTAGCTGTGTGACTCTGGGCAAGTCACTTACTCCCAACTGCGTCACCAAAAAAAAAAAGAAAAAAGAAAAAAGAAAAAAGTTAGTTTGGCAGCTGTGTGTGTAGTATGAACTGGAGAGGTGAGACTGGAGGCAGGGTGACCAGTCAGGAGTCTGTCACAATGATCCAGGCCAAAGGTGATGAAGGCTTGAACTATGGTGGTAGCAGTGTGAGTGGAGAGAAGGGGTCAGATGGGAGAGACGTTTCAGAGGTTTAAACAGCAAGATATGGTACTCGGTCACACAGGTTACAGGAAATCTGAACACAGATCTTCTGCCTCCAACACAAGGACACTTTCCCCTCTACCAAGTCAACGAAGAGAACCATGTGTCAATCCTGGCTCTTCCTCCTGGGCCAAGTCATTTACGGGGATGGAGGGATCAGCCAGGAAAGCTGACGCCGAAGACTCCACGGGTTTCTATGGCCCCTTGACCTCTAAATATATGAAGGCATCCCTATACAGCAGGTGTCCTTAAACTGGGGCTTGTTTTTTTTTTTTTTACAAAAATTATCTATTTCGATATAATTGGTTTCCTTTGTGATCCTACGTACTTTATTTAAAAACACAATTCTGAGAAGAGGGCCTCAGACTTCACCAAAGAGACAAAAAGTTAAGAACTCATGCTATGTAGGATCAGAATATCAAATGAGGTAACGGGTAAAGCTCTCTGCGAACCTTAAAGTACCACGTAAACGCAAACGGTTACAATTATTATAGCATTTACAGCTAGAAGAAACGTCAGAGGTCATTCAGGCCCAGGCTTTCCTTTTTACAGATGTGTAAACTTGAGGCCCCGGAGACACACGACACGGCAATCATTTACAAGGCCCGCACTACCTGCAAAGCGCAAGGAGGAGCTCCTACCCTCCAGGGGCTTTCATTCTACCAGGGAGGCGCCAGGCTCCCCAGCAGGGAATGTGAGGAGGCAGAGAAGACTACGTGGCGCTGGAGGCCACAAAGACACTTCCCGTGGAAGGGGGCACCTGACCTGGGCGCTGAAGGACTCTAAGGGGCAGAGGTCAGGTTTGGGGGGCGGCTCAGGCAAAGGCGCGGAGGTAGGAGACCGGCGGCTTGCTAACGGTCCCTGGAGGGCAGGGGCTATTTTGGAAATCGTCCACGTTTACGGTTGGTTGACCGGTCACCCCCAGCGCCCCAGTGGCCGGCACCTGGAAGGCGATGAAGCAGGCCCGGCCTTGAGTGCCGAGCCCAGGGGTTTGCACCGAGGGCCTGGGGGAGCCACGGCAGACGCGTGACCCCGAGGCCGGGGGAACGCGGGTTCCGGGGCCTGTGTTTCAGGGACCGGGCGGAGCGCGGGGCCCGGGCTGGGGAGGGGGCCGCCAGGGCGGACGGACCCGGAGGAAGCTGGACGCCGCCCGCCCCCGGGATTCCCCACGCGCGCCTCCTACCTCCCTGCGGCGCGAGCGCGGCCACGAGACCGAGCGAGCGGAGGCAGCCGGGCCGTCTGGACTCTCCTCTGCCTCTTGCCGCCGCCCCCGCCCCCTGCAGCCCGGCCCGGCCTTGCCCGCCCGTCAAGGGCGCGGCGAGCGTCACTTCCGCTCCGGGGTCGGCCTTGCGTCACTTCCTGCAGCTGCCTCCGACTTCCCGCGCGACCGGAGGGGGGCGGGGCCTGGAGCCGCATGCGCACAACGTAGGAATTTCGCTCGCCCGTCAGGGCTGGAAGTGGGTGGGACGAGCGAGCAAGCGAGGGGACGTGAAGGCCGCGCGGGCGTGACGAGCGGCTTCTCCTCCGTGGTGCTCCCGGCGCGTTCTGGACGGCCTCAGTCTCCCTATTTGTTACAAGAGGGGCTGGGGCTGGGAGAGCAGGCTGTACGACCCTGGCGAGACCCTCGCCCTCCTGAGCCTTAGTTTCCCCATCTGCAAAATGGGAGGGTTGGCCTCGAGCACCCAGGAGGCGCATCCGGCTCTGCCCTGCCCCTTAGGCCCCCCCCCAAAAAAACCCTGCAGCTTAGAACTGGGGGGAGGGCATGGCCGTTAAAGCCTTTCCCAGCTTGCCTCTTTCCAGTTAGTGCCCTCCGATCTTCAGCTACCCTGGCTGACGTCAACCTGTTGATGAGTAGCCATTGATCAGGTGCCTGCTATGTGCCAGGCACTGTGCTGAACTCTGGGAATACAAAAAGTGGCAGAAGACAGTCCCTGCCCTCGAGGAGCAGTCTAATTAATGGAGAAATACCAAGCAAACAAATAGGTATAAACATGCTGTAGGCAGGATAAACATGAAATAATTAACAGAAGGAAAGCAGCTGGAGTTAGGAGGGGTCAGGATGGCTTCCTGTAGCAGGTGGGATTTTAGTTGGGACTTGACGTAAGCCAGAGAAGTCAGTAATTGGAATGGAGGAGGGAAGAGAGTTCCAGGCATGGGGGACAGCCAGAGAAAAGCCAGGAGCAGAGACCAAGACTCCCATCTCCCCTCTCCAAACCTTTGCCCAGGCTGTGGCTCCTTCCTTGAACCCTCTCTGCCTCCTAGAATCTCTGGCCTCCTTCCAGACTCAGCTCAAATCCCACCTCTTCAGGAGGTCTTTCTTGATCTCCTCAGATGGCTAGTGCAGGCTTGTCAACCTGGGGCCTGTGACCTTGTTTTTTAAAAAGATATTTTGGCAAATATTTTTAATATAATTAGTTGATGTTAAAACTCTAGGTATTTTATCCATTTAAAGCTATTATTCTGAGAAGGGGGTCTGTAGGCTTTAACAAACTGTCAAAGGGGTCCCTGACATGAAAAAGAGGAAAAATCACAAGCATTTATTGAGTGTCTACTATGTGCTGAGCACTTATGAATATCATTTTGCTTGATCTTCACAACCCTGTGAGGTAGGGGCTATCATTAGCTACATTTTACAGTTGAGGAAATTGAGGCAGACAGCAGTTAAATGACTTGTCTAGGGCCCTACATCTACTAAGTATCTAAGCCAGATTTGAACTGTGGTGTCTAGTATTTCATTGAGCCACCTAGCGGCCTCATAAAACCACACACACGCACAAATAACAATGCCAGTGCCTAAGGTTACCTTATATCTGCTGTTTGTGTTATTTGATAGATATCTGTTTGTTTTATATGTACACTTATGTGTCTCCCCTGTTACAATGTTAGCTCTTTGATGGCAGAGATACTTTTGTCTTCATAGCCCCAGGTCTGGTCCCTAGTGTTTAATAAATGGCTGATGTATGGGATTAATTGAGCCTTAGCTTCACATCCCCACTGTCAAGGGTGAATTTAGAATAACTGAGGAAATAAACCCTGAGCCTTGCAGTCTATCTGCAAGGCATATAGTTGCAGAACAAATTGAGTCCAAGGCCCCTCAATAGGTACAAAGACCTTGAATACAGACCTTGCACAGATTTTTGTGCATTCAAAGAAAACAATAAACAGGACGCAGAACAGGACGTCGGATTAGGTAATCTGATTTCTTATTGGAGGAAAGATTAGGGACTTTCTGAGTTAGGAGGAGAAGGAGGAGGAGGAGGAGGAGAAGAGAGAGAGAGAGAGAGAGAGAGAGAGAGAGAGAGAGAGAGAGAGAGAGAGAGAGAGAGAGAGAGAGAGAGAGAGAGAGAGAGAGAGACATTCAGGGTAGGGGAGAGAGAGAGAAGAGAGAGGAGACAGGGGGGAGAGACACAGGGAGAGAGAGGAGACTGGGGGGGAAGAGACAGAGAGAGGAGATGGGGGGGAGAAAGAGAGGGGGAGAGAGAGAGAAGACAGAGGAGACAGAAAGGGAGAGAGAGAGAAGAGACAGAGAGATTGCCTTTTTTTTTTTTGGCTAGTCAATGGGGTTAAGTGACTTGCCCAGGGTCACACAGTTAGTAAGTGTCATGTGTCTGAGGCTGGATTTGAACTCAGGTCTTCCTGAATCCAGGGCTGGTACTCTATCCATTGCACCACCTAGCCCCCGAGAAGGAGGGAGAGAGAGAGAGAGAAAGAGAGAGAGAGAGAGAGAGAGAGAGAGAGAGCGAGAGAGAGAGAGAGAGAGAGAGAGAGAGAGAGAGAGAGAGAGAGAGAGAGAGAGAGAAAGAAAGAAACAGGAGACAGAAACAGAGAGGGAGGAATTCCTAGAAATCAAGTGATTTACAGGAAAACAACAAAATGAGATTGTTCACAAAATGGAGTCAAGTCAGTTTGGTTCTCATAGCACCTCTGTACTCCTCATATGTGACATGGAGATAAAGATACTAGTAGTACCTACTTCACAGGCTGGTAGTGAGGGTCAAGTGAGATAAGGAGGGAAGAGGGTGGTGTTTTCTGACTCTTAAAGCCAGTATCTTTTCTAGTATTTGAAGGGTTTTGCTGGCACACAAAAGGTGGCTCCTACATCCCATAGGATTATAGATTTAGGGTTAGAGGAGATCACAGGCTCGCAGCTGGCAGGGGCATAAGGGGTCATCTAGTGCCAATTCTTAATTGTGCAAATCAGGCAATGGAGTCCAGATTGGGAAAGGTCCTGCTGCTATTTAAGCGGCAGCAGAGCTGGCATTTAAATGCAGGTTCTCTGACTACCCAAAGCTGGTGTGTTTTCAAATAGTTGGAGGGCTGTCACACGTGAGGAGTAGGGGTTCTGCTTGATGCTTTCCAGATAGATGGTAAGCTCTTCGAGGGCAGGCATTGTCTAATCGTTGTCTTTTTATTCCACACTATTTAATTGATTGCCCTCAGAGGGTATGCTTGGGGGTAATGGGAATGTGGAGGTAGAATAGGGGGAGAGAGGCTAGTGTTGGTTATGCAATCCTAGTCCCAAAGCCCATTGGCGCGGGACTTTCTCCTCATAGGTGGAGATCAGCTCTGCCCCATCCTTACTCAGGCGTGGCATCGATCTCCACCAATGAGGGGCAAGTCTCATACCAATGGGCTTTGGGTCTAGGGTTACATTCAGATGTAAGAAAAGCATCCTAACAAAGCAGTTGTCTAGAATAGAATGTGCCACCTTGGGACAGAATGAGTTCTCTCATCAGGGAGAGAATTTCAAGCAAAATCGGGATGTTCACTTACTTTTATGTGGTAGGGAGGATTTCCTGTTCGAGGTTGGACTAAATCACCCATAGATTCCATGACATGCTATGTCAATGTGCGATGTTGTTATTGAAGAGGTCTAGGGGTTTTGAGGTGCTGGGGCCCCAAGATCGTGGTACCAGGCCCTGCCTGAAAGAATTCAACTCAAATCTTCTTCAGCCAGAGGAAAAGTTTATTAGTGGTAAAACATATAGGCCGGGTGACGCACGTAAGGACGAGCGGGCATGAGAGGTTCTCAGCCTTGTGGGCCTGAGATTCTCAGCCTCTGAATGAGGGCCAAGGTGGATCTTAAATACTAAAGTAACTTTGGGTGGCCAGAGAAGGGGGTTGGGTAAAGGGTCTAGGTAACAATTCTAATTGGGGAGGTCTGAGAGATTGAATAGACAATGGGAATAGATAATGGAGAAACAGGAAGGGCAGAAGTTTGAAAGGCATCTGCACAAAATCAAGGTGGGGCTAGGACTTTAAAAAGGAGATAAAGGAAGGCCTTTCTGGGGCCTACCGACAAAAGGGTGCCAGATTCTTTTAGGGCGCATCTGAATAAGATTAAAAGGTAAGGCTAAGGCTTTCAAAGGGAGATGAGGGTCTGGGGCCTGTGAGTCAGATGCCCTTTGGGGCAAAGGGCCAAGATATTGGCTTGGGCCCCGCCCCCATCAGTTATGATTTGTGATCTTTCTGAATCTCCGCTTCCTCATCAATTAAAGGAAAGTTTTGGACTGAGAAGCAGCATGCATGGTAGAGTAGAAGGAATCTTCTTGTTTGTCCCTTGTTCTCGAAGAGAATGGAGGACGACAGGAGGGCGACGTCTGGACTTGTGAGGGAATTGGATTTAAGTGAGAAGGAAGCTGTGGATTTGGTGTAGGTCACTGGGGCTCAAGTCTCAGCACTACCACCTACTATCTCCATGCCAACCTTTGATTGAGTGACAATTGTGAAATGTAAAGAAAGGGCAATACCTTGTGATTTGGACCACCTTACGTTATTCTTTTGTTCTCCGATGGGGCCATCGTCAGCTCTGTTACTCTCGACTGTCTGCCCCTCCCCAAACCAATTGCCCAACTCCTTTGAGATGCCAGCAGCGGGCTGCAGCTGCCTCCAAATCCCCGGGCTCAGGACGGGGTGAGGGGGAATGCTTGCAATGAAGCCACATTCACCAGGCAGCCAGTGCTTCGTGCCAAGCATTCAGCACAATGAGCTTCCTTGTCACAGGCGGGATGAAGATGGGGGTGGGGGGTGGGAGGATTATGCTTCTATCCCCTCTGCAGTCCTGCTTTCCCCAACTGACCTCATATTTCAGCCTTTGATTGGATTCCTCACTGTGCCAAAGTCAACCCATGCTCGAAAGTGGTCACCAAGGGGCAAGGAGCTCCGGGGGCACCACAGGACAAGACAGTTTCTGATGCACACACCCTGCAGTGCAGCTGTGGCCGCCAAACAGCTGACGCTGGCTGATAGGACTGCTCAAGTCCCACCTGCTTTCATTTCTGCTTCTTTGTTTTAATCAAAGTTCTCTTCAAGAACCCCATATTAGTCCTAGTCAGCATTTGTGCAGAATTTTGCAGAGCCCAATTACATTTCATCCTTAGAATGTCAAAGTTGTGCCAGGATTGCTATCTCCCTTTTACAACTAGGGGAGAGGAGAGATAGGGATGCATGTGAAGGCAAGGGCTCTGGGGAGCTGTGCTGTTGAGACCTCTGGTTCAATATTTGCCCACTGATGTTTAGTATCAGTATTTAGTACTGGGAGTTTAGTAAAAGGCTTGCCTGCCTGTTCCCATCCTTTTGACTGCCCTGGAAGAAACCAGCCCAACTTCATACCTATAGCCATCCCTGTGGGAGATGATTCATAAGATCTAATTGGACAATCTGTTCCCAGCATGTTGGAATGGCAGGGGGACTGTATGCAAGAATTTTAT